TCAGAGTTTCTCCCAGTGTTTTATCAGCCTGGCGGGCCACCAGGCTTTGCTTCCCCCCCACCAGGCTTTGGGTTGTTGTTTTAATGGGGATTTTTCTACACCAGTGACAGTAAAGACAGATTAAGCTAAAGGTTTATAGTTGAGGCTTTGAACTGGCTGAGGAGTTGTGAACCGGTTGTGTCGTCCCATCAGTTGCCCGTTTGCTTCACACGCTAAGGTGGAATAATTTGCTTGTCAGGTTGTAAATATTTACGTTGAAACAGGTCAAAGAGAATTCAGAGTAACGGCTGTTAATTAATGGAGATGCTGATTGTTGCTCTCATATCTTGTCTGTCAACACAACAGTGGTCCTTAATAAAGAAACCTGTAAAACAACAGATTAGTTACTTGTGTGCTAAATAGATGTTGGTAGTGATATTATGTGAGATATTGAAGCCGTGTAATATTGGTGTATATTAATCATATCCTATCATTTCAGTGACCTGCTCAGTTCGGTGGACACACATTTGATAGTCTGTCATGTAGACGTCTGTATGGAAAATGTCTTATAAAGGTAAGATATTGTCATGAAAGGATTAGTGCAAACATCTGCGATAGTTTTTCATTTTAAATGGATTCTGATGAAGGAAGTGATATTTTGTGTTTTTGTCGTGTATAAATTGTTCCAATGCTAAGCATAACTCCTATAAGCTTCCACTTCAGTCTCGTCACTCAAAGAATGACGTTAATTATTATGAGACGATAATAATTAACGTTAACACAGCCTGCTGTAGTTTTCTGTTTGTAAACATCAGGGTAGAAGTTTTAGACGGTAGCATCGACGGACAGACAGCAAGGCCTACCAATAAATGTCTAAATAAATGTACACTGATGATACCAATAAATAAATAGATTTGTAGAAAACACTGCAGAACCACAAGGTTCTGACAGAACATGCAGTTTGGAGGATTTTCTTTTCAGCTCAGGTTTTTAGTTTAGTTTTAGTTAAGATGTTTGAGACGTTTAGTGATTCTCTGAGTGAAAATAAATCAGAAAATGAGAATCAGTGCAGATGTTTGTCCTGTAAACGTGGTTCTGGTTGCTGGTAGAGCCCAGGATGTTCTGCTGCTTCATTTTCTGGCTTCACTGGGAGATAAAAGCTTTGATATATTAATAATATATTAAGGGATTTTATCTAAAGTTCCTGTGAAAGGTCAGCAGCAGTTAAATCTTCCTCCTGGCGTCTAAACGCCTCCAGGTTCTCTGCCGGGTTCTGCAGGGTTCTGTACTGTGACCCAGCTTGTTCTGGTTTCGGCTTTGTGAACCTCCTCTCTGCAGCTGAACCGCTCAGCTTGAGACACACAGATCAGATCAGAACAGGTTGATTAATTATCCTTAGATAATAAAGCTAATATTTATTAAACATTTATTTGTGTTTTTCCTCTTCATGAACCAAAAGCAGAATCATTTCTCAGTCAGCTTCAGTTTCAGGCTTCCAGTCATGAGACTGCAGGTCACTTGATTTCCTCCTCCACGACTCAACGTCCTTCATTACCAGAAGAGTCCTGATTTAATTAGGCCGCCGTGTCTTTAAGGCTGCCTGCTAACGTAGATCTTCGTCACACAGAAAGTGACCGACAGAACCAGCTGATCTGAACTGGCTGCTTGTTTTAACGCTGAGCAGGAGAATATTTCCTCTGCAGCTGCACAGATCAACCCAGGACACTAATGAAATCAGCAGCAGGTGGGGGTGGGGCTTCAGTGAGTGATCATCAGAACATCAGGAGGAACCAGTTGAGTCCAACGGTCAGAACCTGCAGCCGGGTGGACGAGCTGAGCTGCTCCAGCGCCTTCAGCATGCAGACAACTGGCAGCCTGTCGGAACCGAACCGCAGGAACTGAACCGGACCGAACAGGACCGGACCGAACTGGACCCCAGGAACCGAACCCCAGGAACCAAACTACAGGAACTGGACTGAACCGAACCCCAGGAAAGGTTTTCATCCTCCCTCCGCTCCAGAAACCATCCATGATGCCCCACCTTCTGCTGCTCCTGTGCTTCCCTCCAGCTGTGGGTGAGAATAATACCAACAACTGATCTGTTTGTGTGCAGGCTCATAGAAATCTGCCAATATAACATAATTAGCATGATGGGGTCAGTGATGATGAAAACAACTGGATTAAATCTCTGATTTTTAATCGATCTGGTTGTTTCCCTTCAGTTTTTGTTCAGTCCATAAATACAAATGGGATCATTTAGATATAAACATGCATTTCTTATTGTTTTATATTCCTACAGGACTGAGCAACAATAAACAGATGGTTTATTATTTAGAGTGACGTTCTGCAGAGCGGTTCTGAGCAGTCAGCAGGATCTCAGTGTGGAGAATCAGGCAGAAATTCTCATAAAGGGAACGAAGCTGGAAATAAGATGCTTCAGCTGCTAACTGGAAAATAATCTGATTATTGTTGCTTTTTATGACACTGTGTTACTTTATGTCATATCATCATTAAAAGCATGAACAATGCAGCCTGCTGTCCTCCAGTCTCCCTGTTCTGCTACACCTGCGTGTTTCCGGCCATCTCTCCTCTGGACTGCATCCGGTTCCCTCTGAAGTGTCCGCCGGGGCAGGTGTGCCTGTCCAGTCGGGCCGTGGGGCAGAAAGGTGAGCTCCCCTCGGGTTGCTGGGTGGGTGAAAGCAAATGGAACCCGAGTTAATGGACCCGGTGGTTCTGCAGGTGACCTGCGGGTGGTGCTGTACGAGAAGAGCTGCGTCCTGCCTGCGCTGTGCGGAGTCACTGGGGAAAAGTTCGCTCTGGGTCTCAACTTCACCTTCATCAACGAATGCTGCAACACACACCTGTGCAACGCGGCCGGCCGCCCCGCCGGGCCCCCGCTCTGGACGGCCCTGCTGCCCCTGCTGGCTCTGGGCTCCGCTTGGTGAACAGAAGGACATGAAAGTTTAAGTGAAACTAAAAATACTCTCTGAATTAAAAGGCCGGATTCTAACAGCAGAAACTTCATAAATGATTCCAACCAACTGAGATTTTCCTGTTTTGGTATTTTATTCAGATTTATGAGCAACACAAAGTCAAGCAGGGAATCTGAACCGGAGGAAACAGAAATCCTCCTTGGAGCCAAAATATTAAAACTCATTTGATGAAAGATCATCTTGTGCCTGAAATGTGATTATATGCTTATGATAAATGATTTAGAGTCTGAGGCTGGATGGATGCTGGAATGTTACCATGATGTTTAAATGTCCCAGAAAAAAGGCTTGGCTCCAACATTCATGCAACAATTATGAGTTACTTTTTGTGTCCAGGTTTGTGGATCAAATTCAAAATAACATGAAATAATCTCAGAAAAACCCATAAATAAAAGTAAATCAAAGAGAAGTTGCACATTTCAGTTGGACTTTGATAAATTCTTTCACTTTATGTGGAGTTCGGCACCAAACTGGACTTTTTACTGAAAGTGTAACTAATCAAGCTGGACCTTTAGAACCAACAGGACCATTCAGCTGCAGTAGCAACACTTCAACCCCAGAGGGCAGCACCGACACGAGGTTAGGTCAAATATTACAGAATTAGTCTGAAAAGTCTCAAAAACTTTTTATATTATGTTGCACAAACAGACAGCAGCAAATAAAATAGAGCAAAAAAAAAAAAAACTGCAGAAAAATATCGGACTCATTCCGTCAACAATGTTTAGGATTTTATTGCATTATTTTGGTCAAGTCTGAACTTTCTCTGCTTTGTGTTTATAGATTAAGAAGAAAATAGTTAAAACTGTTGTAATTTTTACCAAAATTCAAAAACAGTTAAAAACACACTACATGAATATTAAAATGCATAAATAAGTACATTTACTTAAACTGTTTTTTTTTCTTTTTGTCTAAAGTTCATATATTAAATGAACATAAACAGTGTTATTATGCAGTGAAGGAGTTTATCATTAATGTACTTTTACATAACAGATTTAACTGCAGACCTCAGAAGAACATAGAAAAGAATTTTGTCTGAAAATTTCTTCTGAATCTACATTTAAAGATAATCTCTGTTAGTTTGGATTATCGGTTTGCTGCATTACCTGACGCTGCCAGTGAGTGGCGCCACCTGCCGTCCTTTCACCTGCAGGTGTTCCTAATTGGACTGTGACATCATGAGAGGCGGCAGAGCCGCAGCCTCAGTTCTTCTCATCATGGTCCTGCTGCTGCTCCTGCTGCTCTGCGCCCGCCAGACGGTCCAGAGCCCGAACCGAACCGCCTCGCTGCAGCCCCGGGCCCAGACAGCCACCCTGCTGCAGCACAGCCACCTCAGCCTGCCCATGTACCTGGACTCGGACCTGCCGCTGGTCCGGAAGGACTTCTTCTCCCCGGCCAGAGGCAGCGGGCAGGGCGGCTTGCCGCGGCCGGTCCGGGAGCTGCTGCTGCCGGTGTGGCCCCGCGCCGGCGGCCCGCCCAGCGTGTCGGGGGCCGCCGTGTGGATTTCCTGTGAGCGCAACCGGATGCAGCTGCAGGTGGAGCGGAGCGTCCTGGGCTCCGGGGAACCGGGCTCTCACCTAAAGCTGGGGACCTGCGGGGTCAGCAGGTCCACTGAGGATCGCCTCTACTTCGAATATGATCTGCGCATGTGCGGAACCCAGCGTACCGTGAGTCTGAAACGCAGCAGGGATGCTTCAAAAATCAACCACAGCGTGATTTAAATCTGATAGAATCAGGAATCTCCTTCCCTTTAAGGTCTGACCTGTTAATTCCAGTTTGACCAGAAAAAAAAACACACAAAGCAGGAAAAACTGCATGTTCGATGTGGCAGCTTTGATCGACATGAAAATGAAGGAATTACAATATTATTTTCTTTATAAAACACATAAAATCTTAAGAGAAATATTATATGTGCTTTAGTAAACTGGAGACGACTCAAGCTGCTGGTTGAAGCTTCTAGCTGAACATTGTGACTGAACAGATCCAGTAAAATCAGCTCATTTCTAATCTGATCGATTAATCTGTGGTTTTTATTGTTTCAAAGTTTTTAAACTTTTTCAAATGTTTGGACATAAAACTGAAATGGTGCAAATATTCCTGTTCAGATTGTCAAAAATATTTAAATGATCATTATTTGTGTTTTAAAAAGCTGCACAGAAAATTAGTCAAACTCTTCAGAAGTAAAATGTATGGAGAAAACATGTTTTTAATTTAGGTAATTACAGCTGTCTGCTGTTTTAATTTCTAGAGGAAGAAATCCAGTCTCTCAGCTTTAGATACAAAAGTTCAAGTCCAGCAGTTCAGATCAAAACTTCTCTGCTTCACTTACAGATGATCAATAATCGGATGGTTTTCTTCAACATGCTGCATTACGACCCTCCGAAGCCAAAAGGACCAATCAGACGAACGGCGCCGTTCAGCGTGCCGGTGGCTTGTTATTTTAACAGGTCGGATTAAAACGGGAAGAACTCGGCCTTTTATCACGGAGCTGAAATCATGTTGGGTTTTTTTTTTTTCTTTAACTGTTTAGGTTTGTTTATTCGTATAAAGTTGGATACTCTCCAAAGGTGCAGATGCGGAAGTTCCTGAAAAAATTGAAGAAAGTGGCTAAATTTGTTCTGACTCCAAGAAACGGTAACGATCCTTCTGACTCCAGTTTCCTTTAGGATGAAAGACAGTTTGTTTTCTTCAGTCAAAGTTGCTCCTTTGTGTTTGAACTACAGACAGCTGAGATAAACACAGAGAGCTTTTAAGTTCCTGCTGGCGGTGCCAGGCTATTGGATCTCCATTCTACTGCTTTTCTTCTCTCCTGACTTTCTCTTTCTAAATTGGAATAATTAACAGAACTCTTAATTTTATTCACTCACAGTCCATCTGTTGACTTTATCTCAACATATTTCACAACTTCAGACAAGAAGTTAATAATTATATTTCAAATTGAATGTCAAAAATCATTAAATAAGCTCTTTATTTCCTCCCTAAATGCTAAAACCATGGATTTCCCTGCGGTGTGTTTGACCCGGCCTCCAGCCCAGTGGAACAAGCTTTCCGGGTCGGATCACTTTCTCCTCGGTGAGCCGGTGTTCTTCGCAGCTGAGGCTCAGTCTTTGTCCAGAGATGAGCGACTCTACGTCCTCTCCTGCTACGCCACTCCAGAGGAGTCCCCCACCTCCACGCCTCAGTTTCCAGTCATAACTAACTTTGGGTAAACCTCAGCGGCGTTTGTTTTCAGGTTTCTAAATGAGCCCATGCTGACAGGTTCTCCCCTCTCCTGACGGTGCAGATGTATGGCTGAGAGTAAGAACAGCCGCTCCAGATTCATCCCACACAGAAACGACGCTGTCAGGTTTTCTGTTGACGCCTTCGTCTTTAAGGGAGTGACGGGTCGGGTCAGCAGAAATATCTAAATATCTTCGTGTTAAATAAGCTGCTGCAGCTTTTAGAGGTGAAATAAAAATGCGTTTTTCTCCTGTGCTGCAGCTCTACATGCACTGCAGGATGTTGGTGAGCGCTTCAGAACCGACACCGATGGCAAAGTCCTGCAACTATGACACCAGAACCAGAAGGTTGGTGGATTATTTTCCACAGAAATAAATAATGATTCATCTCATTTCGATGAATGGACCCGTGGTTCTGGTCGTTCTGCAGGTGGGTGGAGCTGTTCGGGTCCAACTCTGTGTGCGACTGCTGCGATTCCAGCTGCAGCCCGGATGGATCCGCAGGTCTGTTGTGAACTATCCAGTTTTTAATGATCTAAAACAAACATAAAGCTGTTTTAGTGAACATGATGAAAGTTTTCCTCCAGCAGAAGGTTTTCTGTCGCTTTGGTTCCGGTCCAACTCTGATTTCCAGCAGTGGTTCTGTTCTGAGGTTGTTGGTTAATATTTTAATAGTCTTGGGAGAGAGGAGCAGCACAGTGTGCTGTTTGGTTTCTTCAGATGAAAATCGAAGCGTAGACCTGAATGAATCGGCGTGGAGCCGGTTCCCTCCATGTTTACCTAAAAACAGTTCAGTTCAAAGTTCCCAAAGACATGAGCTCCTCTATCGACAGGGTTAAGCTCAGTGCTGGTCATCGCTGATGTCATATTCTGGTTTATTCCACAGAAACAAACTGGTTCTGATTAGCTCTTGTAAATAAACTTCCTCTACATGCAGATATTTTTCTTTTTCCTACTTTAGCAACGCAGCTGTTTTGTGATCAATGATGCATCTGACTGAAAGGTTAAATATATATTTTATATTCAGAGACTGAAGTCGTCAGCAGCACGTCGTGGACCACAGATCCTAAAATGAAATCCAAACCTCTGAACAAGGAGAGCAACACGACGGCGGCCAGAGGAATCCCAGGAATAACGGGGAGGACCGAGAAGCTGCAGGCTGAAGAGGAGGAAGAGGAGGTGGGTGAAGGGCGCCTCCCTGGTGGAGGGCGAGGAGAACGTCTCTGAACTCCAAACTTTGACGACATCTTTGATTTTTGACTGAGAAATTTGGTGAACTTAAACTTCTGTTTTATTTGACTTAAGTTATTGTTGCATTTGCAAAACATGGCAAATAAAACAAATATTTGAGTGAAATCAGTGTTTGTTTCTGACCAGGAAGTAAAACCACAAAGATTTTATTTATTTAACTTTTTTTCTGCTTGTCTTCGGTGGGAACTGCGTCCTGAAAAGTTTCTGATCGGATAGAGGCTAAATAATCTGTTCCAGGTCAGTGAACTCACCACGCCAATGCACCAACAGGTGGAAGTTGTTACTGAAGAGGAAAAATCAAGTGTTCAGAAATTTAGTGGAATTTTAAACTTCTAGAGAAGAAGAGAAAGTCTGTTGGGTTACGAACTTAAAAACTCTGCATGCTAATTATGCTAAAGGCTAAGATGCTAAACACAGTTTAAAATGTCAGCTGGAATCATTTTGGATGTCGGTGAAATCCGTCTTACTGCAGAGCTGGACCTGCTGCTCTCTGCCACACAGTGTGACGTCTCCTCTGCTTAAGGCTCCTGTAGGTAGGATGAATGAATGTTTGGAAATATTTATGACCGTGTAGAAGAATGCAAAGAATCTGGAAATTTGATGCTCGTTTTATTTTGCAGCAAGAACTTAAAATGTGTCTGATAACGGAGTAAAGGATGCAGATTGTGGTTCTGTTGGGTTTTATTTATAGATATTTTTTCATGCAG